TTAAAACAGGTGTAGCCCCAGCGCTGTTTCCTCAGGAGTGGCTGCAGTGGGCACTGTGTGTGTGCTCTGCTGTTCCCCCTGAGCTGGCAGCACCCACACCAAGCCCCCCTGCCTGCTGGTGCAGAGGTGGGTGCTCCCTAACCCCACTGTGCCTCTGCAGGGACACCTACAGCGACCGCAGCGGCAGCAGCTCCCCCGACCTGGAGATCACCGAGCTCAAGTTCCCCTCGGTGAATCACGACTGATCCCTGGTAATGTTTAATGATCTCAGCCTCTTCCTCGGGGAGAAAGTTACTTGCCCAGTCTTTTCTCCTGGCATCTGGCGTTGTTTGGTGGAAGGCTGGCACGCCAGGGTTGTGCTGGTGCTCACATTCATGTTCCAGCTGTGTTCCAGCTGTGCTGAGGGCTGGGCTGTGCCCCTGTGCAACACACGGGGGTGGTGTTCCCTTAGCAAACTGACACATCATGAAGTGTAAATACACAGGCAGGGGTTTGGGATGAAATTCAGGTTAAGAACCAGAGCACCACTGTAGCACAGTCTCCTAAAATGGGAGCAGAACTGAGCAAGGGGTTCCTGGATTTGGGAAGCTCAGTATTTTGGGAGCAGTCTCTCACTGATGTGAAAGAACATCTTGGAAGTAGCCATCCTGCCCATCTTCTGGGACAGCAGTCCCTGTCAGAGCAGGGGCTCGAGCTCTGGTCTGTAATGGCTGCAGATGTGAAAAATGGATGTACAAGGAGGGGACACTAAAACCTGGCACTCAGACTGCACCAGCAGAACAGGCAGACTCAGATGTTAAGGGAGTTCTCCCTCTGCGCAGTAGATGATCAGGGATGTGACCTTCTCCTGCTCTGGCTGGTTTGTGTGCTGCTTTTGGAGGAGTTGAGCAGCATCTGTGGGGTGAGAGCAGGGCCCCATTGCTGAGTGCCAGGGGACCCTCCTGCCCCTTGCCTTGGTCTTACAGGCACTTCCAGAGCTCACTGCAGAGGGAAAACAGGGTCAGCCCCTGTGTGGCACAGGAGTGCTCCCCACCCCGGGCATGGGACAGGGTGCTGGGATCACAGGGTGCTGGGATCACTGGGTGCTGGGATCACTGGGTGCTGGGCTGTTCCACAGCCTGGTACAGAGCTGAAGAATTCTCCCTGTAAATTTTTATCCTAAAGATTATTTAAAGATAAATCCTTTGGCTCCCTGACAGCATCCCATGTGCTCTGGAGGCTTGGGGGCTGCAGTGGCAGTGTGGGGTATCCCCAGGGACATGTCTCAGCCTGTGGCTCTGGGCCATCAGTAACTCCTGCTCCTTTTTTCTGTCCTCTCCAGGTGTGTCCCTGCTGCAGAGAGGAGTCTCTGTTTGGTTCTCCAGGCGTTCTTACAGCAATAGCTTCAACACCCTCAGCTTTGGGCTTTCCTGACTTACGGGTTTATAATTTTCATTCTGAGATCCTGTCCCTTATTTCCTCAGCTCTTCTGTCCTTCCTGTATCTTCCATGTAGATCCTGGTTATTTGTGGAGGAGAGTTCACACAGGCTCCTCCAGACTTCCTTCAGTTCCTTCAGTTTGCACCAGCTTGGAGAACAAAGCAAACTGTGGGCTCTGATGTGTGTGGGGGAATCCCATGGCACACATCCTTCCCAGCACAGGGAATGCTGGCGTCAGGGTGCCTTGGACACTGACAGTGGAGTTGCTTTCTCCAGCCTTTCTGCTTCCTCCTTGCTCTTTACTTACTAGTGAAATTATGTGGATGGCACAAGTTTTCGGGTTTGGCTCAGTGCCTGGGCCAGGCTGCGCTGCAGAGGAGGGCTCTGGGCAGCTGCATGCAGCCTTTCTGTGGGTTTATTTGGGGAAAGAAGGAGGATTTTTTCTTCTTTTTTTTTTTTTCTTTTTTTTTCCCGGGGTATTTCTAAACCTTTGGCATTGGTGCTCTCGGTGCATTCGTTGCCACAATGAATTTGTAACCAGGAAAGCTCTCCTGGAATAGTGTTACTCTGGAACACGGTCAGCTCTGCCTGACGTGTCTCTGCAGGGATGTGATTAACTGGGATCAAGTTGGGGGGGTTGGAAAGCAAAGCTGCCAGGAAAGCCCTGACCCAAGGGGTCCGAGCTCCTGGAGCTGCTCCTTGGGCTGGGACACTCCAACCCCTTGCATCAAGGGGGAGGTGAACAGTGAACCACTGAACCACTTCACTGCTGCCTTGAGCTGCTCCTGCTGTCCCTGGCCTCGGACACAACAGTTCCTGGTGCTTTTTCATGGGTTGGAAGCAGAGCCTTCCATTGCCTTTCTGTACAGATGGAGCCGTGTGTCCTGTGCTCCCGCCTTCCCCAGGGCTGTTCCCGAGGGAGGGCGTTCCCCACCCCCGGAGCTGCCCGGCTGGGGCACCGGGGGTTGTTGCTGTGCAGTGCTGGGGGATGCCCTCCCTGGTTCCCTGCTCGTGCTGCCGTGGAACACCGTGTTTGGCTGCTGGGGATCGAGAGGAGAGGAAGGGATGAAGGGTCTCCACTGCTTGAGGTGTCACACGCTCAGAACTCGGCAGGGTGTCTGGGGAGAGCTGCACAGTCAGACCTGCCTGAGCCACGTAACTAAACCTTGTCCTGTCCCTCCTCCCTGATCTCCTCCCCAGCCCCCCTTGCTTTAGTCCTCAGTTGTTTTCAATATTCCTGTAAAGCTGCTGTGAGCCCGGAGAGCTTTGGGCATTCCTCGTGTGCCAATTCCAGCTCTCCTGGAGGAATGATTGAGGTTGATGCTCTGGTACTGCCCAGCCCCTCCCCTTGGCATGGGGCAGGGTGAGATTGTTCCTCAGCTGCAGCACAACTGTGTTTTCTTTCTCCTGAGATGTTTTTGTTTTGGCCAAAACTGTGCCACTGACTGGGTCATTAAACACTCATTTGTAACAAACTGCACCAGGAGCCCCGAGCTGGTTCTGTTCCTGCCCAGAAGGGATTGAGGTACAACTCAATTTTAAACGAGTCCTCTCTAAGTCAGGGAAAATCCGTGAGCTGCACTCACAGTGGTTTTAGATGTGGATTTCCAAAGTCTGGCTGAAATCATGGAGCTTCTGTCCAGCAGCAGAGAAACCTGGGGAACCTGGGCTGGGCCTGCAGGTGCTGCAGGGTCAGTTACTAATGGAAACCGAGGCTGCAGCCCCTTGGCAGGGTTTGTCCCTTCTTCCCCCACAGCTGGGATTGTTGGCCAGACCCCCCAGCAGGGCTCTTGTTGGGGGGAGAGGGTCGGCCCCAAGGCAGCCCTGAGTCCCCCTGGCAGGGGCAGCACACCCAGGGGGTGGGGGCTCCGCTGTGGTTCTGTGCAGGACCAGCCCTGCTGTGGGGTCTGCCCAGGCCCCTCTGGCCCTTCCCGCGGGATGGAGCAACCCCTGAGGGCCCACAGGGGCTCGGGGTCGTGCCCAGGTGAGGGGGCCAGGCCATGGCACTGCTGTGCTGGGGAGCAGGGCGGGGGCTCAGAGCTCATTGTCCTCCCTTCTCCTCCCTGCCCCGGGGGCTCAGAGCTCATTGTCCTCCCTTCTCCTCCCTGCCCTGGGGGCTCGGAGCTCATTGTCCCCCCTTCTCCCTACCCCGTGTGGCTGCAGGTGCTGTCGGCCCCCCCAGCTGCCTCAGGGCCCCGCGGGGCAGGGCTGAGCTGTGCTGGCAGCGATGGCTTCAGCGGCCCGGCCGGGGCTGCTCCTGCCCCGACAACCCCCTCAAGCTCCAGGCAGGAACAAGGAGCTGCAGCAGCCTCTGCCAGCACCGCGGAGAGCAAGAGGGGGGCCAGCCTGAGGGGACGAGAGGGGCTGGGCAGAGATCGGGAGGACACGATGTCATCCCTTGGCTACCCTGCGAGTGTCGCTCCGCTCCCCTCAGCCCCGGAGGGCAGGCAGGGAGGGCAGGGCAGGCCAGGCAGGGAGGGCAGGGCAGGGCAGGCAGGGAGGGCAGGGCAGGGCAGGCAGGGAGGGCAGGGCAGGGCAGGGCAGGCAGGGAGGGCAGGGCAGGAGAGCCGAAGGTCTGTCCTGCAGCAGCACCCCCTGCCTGTCCCTGCGCTCCCCCCATGGCAGGTGCCTGTGGGAGCCACTGCAGGGCCCAGCCCAGAGCACAAACAGCGGGGAGGAACTTGGTATCCTTTTATTTATAAACAAATCAAGGTAAAATAAGTGCAGAGGAAAGCACTGGCTGACCCTGCCGAGCCCCGGGTGCAGCGGGACCAGCGCAGGTCACACCGAGGGGTGTCCCAGCACGGGCTGCGCTCTCTGACAAAGAGCCTTTTGCCTTCTCAGTACTTTGGGGGTTGGAGTATTTTTTTTTTTTTTTTGCAACTTTGCCCCTTAGGGGTAAACCTGACCCAGTGCCAGAGCCTGGAGGGTTGGTCACCGCGGGGGCCCCTCGAGGCTGGCAGGGGGGCTGAGCTGAGGGCAGGAGGAGCAAGTGCTTGGAGTGGAGATCCCGTCCCACCCCTTTGGTCCCTGCAGGGGCAGCCTGTGCACGTGTGGGTCAGTGCTGGGGGTGTGTGGGGACACAGCAGGGTCAGCCCCCACCTGCCCCTCCAGCCCTGCCCCAGCTCGGCCCACCTGGGGGTCCGGGCAGCCCCTGCCCCACAGGCAGCCCCGAGCTGGCAGCTGCTGCTCCAGGACACGCCGGTGGCACAGCCTGTGGCCTCCACACTCCTCGTGCAGCTGCAGGAACGTGTCTGGGACTGCAGGAACTGCTCAAGTGCCATCAAAAATAAATACATTAAACTGCCTGAGACAACAGGGGCCCCGGGCAGGATAAAGCCCTCACAGGAAGAGCAACATCGGGGTGGGTCCCTGGGATCCTCTGGGCAGACCCAACACCCTCTCACAGACTGAACCGGGACGGACCAAAACTCCAGAGGAGCAGGAGTGCCCCTGGGAAGACAAACCTTGGCAGCTCTGGCTAAAAATCACCAAGAGTTGCGAGTTCAACACAGGTAGAAAAATCATCTCATTGCTTTAAACACACAACTCCTTAGTAAAAAAAAAAATTCCCAAAAGAGAAAATTAAAAAAAAAAAAAGGCGAGAAGGATCAGTCGAGTCCTGCAGCATCCAGGCAGCTCCAACCCGTGCCAGGGGCACCTCAGCCCCGCTCCCTGGCTCTCCCAGCTCACTCCATGCTCCCAGCCAGGGCCGTGTGGCCTTTCCAGTCCCGAATAAATACAGAGGCCTCCACCCCTGGCCTGGTGTGCCCAGCTGGAGCCGGGCTGGAAGCCAGGGGCAGGCAGAGCTCAGGGGGTGAGTGGCCCGTGGGCTCCCCATGGGTGTGGAAGGCGGGGATGGGGCAGTCGATGCTCCGAGCTCACTGTGGTGCCGCAGGGCTGAGCCCAGTCGGGGGCACGGCCCCACTGCAGCCCCGTCCAGCCCCCATGCCCCGGGCAGGCGAGGGAGGAGAGGTGGTGCCAGTGCCCAGTCCCCACAGACACTGCCCAGAGCTGCTGCTCCATCCCAGGCAAGCAGGACAGGGAGCCCACGGAGGAGTGCTGGGAGGGACCCTCTGCTTCCGACAGGACACCCACGGCTTGAGGCTGGTGTGAAACCCAACTGTGCCGGGCTCCCTCCCGGGGGGGGCCGGGCTGTCGGCGAGGTGTCCGTCTGTCTGTCTGTCCATCTGTCTGCGGTGTAAATGGGGTGTGTGCATGCGAACCTGTTGGCAGGTGAGCGCGGGTGGGGGTGGCCAGGAGCGGAGCTTCCAGGATCTGTCCTGCCGAGTGTCCTCTCAGAACTTGCCTTGCTTTAGCTTGTCGATGTGGTAAGTGAGCTTCAGGGCTGGCCCCAGCTTCAGCCCCATGTACTTCATCATCATGTCACTCCGCAGCAAGAGCAGGGCCTTCCCGTCGATCTCCTGCAAGGAGGGGAACAACAGCGCTTGTGGCAGCCCCTGGAAGGCCCATCCCTGCCACTGAGCCAGGCCAACAGGCAGCAGCAGGGCTGGGGGTGAGCCCTGCTCAGCAGCATCCCAGCAGGGACATCTCAGCGTGGACAGCCCTGCATGCACCCTGCTCCAGCACAGGGCTCAGCCCCACAGCCCCACGTGCAGCGGGAAATCTGCTGGGGGATCAACACCCAGGGGCCTTGAATAGAGGGGCAGCAAATCCTGAAGGGAGGGAGGGAGGAAAAAGGAGGTTTTGCTGACAGGGGAATGATGGAGGCAGGGGAGCAGTCCCTCACTCCAGGGCACTGTCAACCCAGCACAGCAGCAATGGTGACAACAGCCCTGCCAGGACACAGCCCTGAGGCATGGATGAAGATGGAGATGAGGGAACAGTCCCTGAAACTAAAAGAGCCTGCACTATGTGACTGAATATTAGGAAAAATTTCTTCCCTGAAACAGTGGTCAGATACTGGCACAGCTGCCCAGGGCAGGGGTGAAATCACCATCCCTGGAAGGGTTCAAAACATATGTGGATGTGGCACCTGGGACACAGTTTAGTGGTGGCCTTGGCAGTGCTGGGGTCTTGTTGGACTCTATGAGCTCAGAGGCTCTTCCATTCTGAATGATTCAGTGATTCTATTCTGTGTTTCTGGAGGTTCACAGCACTGTCTCAGCCACTGGCAGGGAGTGGTGAAGCTCCTCATCCCCAGCAGGGCTGATTCCAACACAGCAGCTTCCAAAGCAGCTGCTGCTTTACAGCAGAGTCCAGGCATGTTCCACCTGAGGCTCAGGAGGGGATGGATCATGAGCTTTGAATAACCAGGGAACAGCTCTGTCCTTGGCATCTGCAAGTGGAAGTCTCCCACCACTTTCAGTGCTCCTTTCCATGAGCCAGTCCAGGCTGGGGCCGGAGCTTTGCACTGGACAGTTTTCCATGAAAAAATGTTAATGGACTTAAAGAAGAAAAATAAAAATCACCACCTCAAGCAACAGAACGTCCTGTCCTATGTCAATGCCCAGCGAGGTTTCAGGCTGATGAGATCTCCAGGGATCTCCAGTACCAGGTTTGATCTGGTTTTCCCTTCTGCAGATAAAAGCAAGGCTCTCCCCAGGACTGCCAATCCAGGGCACTTCCAACCCTTGGCAACTTTTGCATAATTAAAACAAACATTTTTCAATTACTGGTGGTTCTATAATAGAACTAATTAAGAAAAGGAGTGTTTTGTCAGCACAGCCCAGAGCAGGATGCAGCGCTGGGTGTTTGCTCCCAGTGCTCTTCTGACTTCCCAAGCAGCACCAGACAGAACAGGGACTCAATCAGAACAGTTCTGGCAGGAATCAGGACACGGAGCTGCCAAACCTCTTGTAGCTTTAATGGTACAAACTCCATGCTGTGTCTGCAGCTGTTTTACACTTACAGATGTGCACAAGGAGCAGAGCCTTAGGGGACTCCCTGTTATAGGAAACGGAGTTGAGCAGTGAAGCACTCCATGAATCCCACTTGCAATGTATTTTCTTGACAGGGGAATTTGCCATGAGGTGAGTTATCAGGCTCCAGGGCAAGCAGGGTCTGTGTTTTCAGCACTGGGATTCAAACACACCCAGGCTGCCAGGTCTGCCCCTGGAGAGGTCTGAGTGAGGATCCCAGTCCTGGACAGGGGATGAGCAGGATTTATGAGGATATTTTTATTAAGCACAGAACTCCAGCTGGTCCAAAGTGCTGCCATTTTCTGACCCTCCTGCGCTTTCCTTGTGTGCTGATTTCCCCCTCCCACAGGTGACACACACGTACACACAGACACTCACGTGTTTCCGGAACAGGTCAGCGTGGGGGCCCAGCTGAGGGTCGGACTCGCGGATGAACTGCATCACCTCCTCCACCGTCCAGCACGAGGGGTCGCGGCTGCTCAGCCGGGGCCCGTCCCGAGAGCCGAGGTACCTGTCAGACCCTGGGGGTGCAGACAGGGCTGTTACTGCAGCTGTCCCACAGTCACTCCCCCTCAACCCACCACTCAGCCTCCTCTCCTACAGCAAGGGCAGAGACACAGCAAGGATCACATCCCAGTCAGGCCCCACATTCCTGCAGCACAGGTCTGGCACAGGAGCCTTATTCCCTCTCCTTTTCAGGGCAGCCTTCTACACTGAGCCCTTTTCCTCTCTCTAACTTCAGTTTCTCCTTGTTTGCCCCTCCATTCCCACTCCTCGTCTGTCAGCTGACAGCTCCCACCTCCCACAGCAGAACACCCTCCCCACTCCCATGTCTCTCCCCACTCATGGTTCCTCCCCCACTCCCAACACCTTCAGCACACTTAACACAGCAGCAAAGCTGGTTTATGTTTTCATTTTCTGACAGGTTGAGCCCACAGGTGACGTCCCGTTGTCCCGAAGCACGGCCCAAGCTGATACAAAGTCCTGTTCCCGACATTCCAGCATCGGCACAGCCCCTCGTCCCACCTCTGCCCTCACACGCAGGTGGGGGGGAGCCACCAACAGCCCGAGCTTGGGAGAGGATTTTATTGACACCTTGCACTTAAAATCACACTTTTTGCAACCTGATGTGCTGATGTGCTGCACTGCCCAGCTCAGCCCTCCTGCCCCTGTCCCTCCACACACACACGTGCTGTTCACACACCCCACCCTCCCTCCCACCCCCTCCCAGCTCCAGCCTCTCCAGGCAGCTCTCGACTCCCCGGCCATTCCCCATCCATCCTCACGGACCCAGATGCCCATTTGGACACAGTTCAGCTCCTGCCTGCTCCTTCCTCTCCACCGACCTCCGGGTCCCCCCCGTCACCAGCCACAAGAGCAGCGTCACTGTCCGCACTGCCACCCGCCCAGGTGCCATCACACCTCACGGAGCTGGTGGGCTGTGCAGAGCCCAGCCTGGTACTTGCTGGAGTCAGAAAGGTGTAATTGGAGTTAGGAAGGCCCTCTCTTGCCATTGTGCAGCTGCAGGGCTGTTCTGAGCTCTTACCCCCAGAGCTAAGCCTGCGCAGGGCAGAGCTGCTGCCCTGGCTGAGGCTCGAGGGTTGGTGCAGGTGCCTGTATCCTGGCAGGCGATAGTCTCTGGAGCTCCTGCTGTGGCTGGAGGAATTGACAGAGTTCAAGGCAGAGTCCATAGGGTCCAGGCGAGGCTCCAAGGGCCCTGGGAGGCCATCCCCCAGGACAAAGGTTTCACCTGGAACGCACCAAGCTGCAGTCAGTGCACCCGAACGCCACGGCCCGACGCTCCCGCTCGGGGGCAGAGGTGCAGCACTCCCTGGGTCTGACCCCTCTCACTGGGCTCCTCCACAGCACAGGGATCAAACCAGGCACTGCCTGGTGTTCACCTGGCAATGCCAACTAGTGGGCAGTGACAACGGTCGGTGCCCAGCCTGGGGCAGCAGCTCCTCTGCTCATGCCACGACCAGCTCTGGCCCGGCCCTGTGCCCTGGCGGGGCACGCCTGATCCATCTGGATGCCAACAGACACAGCACTCACACACAGCCCTGAGCAGGGAGGGGAGGGGAGGGGAGGTTCCCTGAGGGATCCCACACTGCACATTCTCGGCAGCAGCGTGCGAGGGACTGTCCCCCAGGACTAGGGTGTGGGACACGCAGAATCCCGGAGGGCAGCACCACATGCAGGGCAGGAGGGGCTGCACTCTCATGGCCAGGCAATGCTCCCACGCCATGCTGGTCCTCCAGCCCCAGAAGCAACACGCTGGTGACCAGCTGCTCATCCCTCCTGCCCTTTTCCAGCCTAACCACTTTGGAGACCAACTCCCTGTGCTGGCACATGCACAGCAGGGACTGGGCTGAGGCTTCTCTCCAAGCAGGGTCCCAGGGCAACAGCAGCTTCCTCACCTTCTCTAGAAATGCATTGAATTTCCAGCTGTCCGAGGCACTATTGGGAAGGAAAGGCTGAGGAGACTATCCAGGGTTCTACCTGAGCCAGCAAGACCTGCCTGTGCTGTTACACTGTGACAGCTTCACCTCAGGGCCACCACTGTAGGTTTTACTATGGCACAACCAGGTCTCAGCCCATGTGGCCCTTGAGCCTCCTGAGTCATCCTTCAAATACCTGCATTCTTTTCTTGAATTACCTGGCAAGTTCCTGCACCAAGCAGGAAAGCAGCTCCCACCCCAAGGGGCAGTGCCTGTGCACTGCAGGGCCAGCACACCGGGCTGGGGCTGCAGAGACCCCGAGGGCAGCTCACAGCCCTGAGCTGCTGCCACTCAACAACAGCAGGTGACAAGGGGCAAGAAACCAGAGCCACTGCTCTGGCCAGGCCCTGGGTTTGCTCCCTGGGTCTTCCCAGAGCACAGGAGCAGCAGGTGAGAAGCCAGCACAGCAAAGCTGAACTGGTGGTGGTGAGGATGCAGGCTGATACTGCAGTCTGTGAGAGCCAGAAGCTGCTGAATTTTCCCAAATTCCTTGCTGACATCATGGTGCCAGGCTCCAGCAAAGGGAGATGCAGAGCCTGAGCCTAACCCTGAGTGCTGCTGACACAGGTCCCACCCGACTGCAGCAGCCTCTCCTAAAGGCACCTTATTTGCTGTGGTTTCTATGAACTGTGTGAGCTGTGATCCTCTGGTCTCAGTGCTCTGGTCTGTGTTTGAGCAGAGATCCCAGAGCCAGTTCAGCTGGAAATACCCAGTCCTGACCTTCCAGAGCTTCAGCTCCCAAGGGAACCCCCCTTGTCTGGCTGTTGGCCAGTTTGGTGAGGCCAGTGGGAGGTTATCACCTGGGTAACTGCTGTTCTTCCACCTCAGGGGCTTTGTCACTCTGCACTTGAGGCACTCCTGTTTTAACTTTAGGTCTCTGGGACATGTCCCAGAACAGCAGCACAGCCCTGAAGTCTCACCTAGAAACTGCTGGCGTTAAGAATCTACTCCTCTAGTGACCCATCCCGTGTCACTCACTTCCTACGTGGGCAAATGTGTTCCCACCTGCTCTCAGTGCATAAAAGGTGCTTTTATGACTCATGGCTTATCCTGAATAACTGTGAACCCCTCCTGTACTCCCACCACTCCATTTCAGCTCCTGGCTGGACACAAACCCAGCACAGAGCTGGCTGCTCTGGCCCAGGGGTGGGTGCAGATCCCCAGCCAGACCCATCACCGGCTGTCCCTTACACCAGGGGGTCTCCACTGGAGCTGCTTCTGAGGAGACAGTTGGTGTTCTCTTCAACAGGACAGTTCTGCTTAAATCCCACACCACTTCCCATTAAACATCTGGGAGAAGGTGCTGTCTGGCTGCCAGGGAAGGGCAGAGGCAAGAGAGGGGTCGGTGGGCACAGTCCTGAGCGCTGCCAGAGTGGCTGGGGCATGAGAACAGCTCCCTGCTGCACATCTCCACTCCCCAAGGAAACCCAGCCCCCTTGAGGTGCCACACAGCTTCAGCTGGGCAGCAAGCCCCAGGGCACTCACTCTGGGGTGAGGCAGGGTGCTGGGTCAGGCACACACATCTCTAACTGCTCCCAGAAGTCAACAGAAGGCCCAGCTTGGGAGGCTGGGAGAGCACATGCACAGGTTCATGTTGGTGCCATGCTGAGGATCCAAAACTCAACCCCAGAAAGTACTTCACTCAACAGTCAACACACTGATGTTATCCTGATGGGAATGTGATGCATTCTGCAGCTATGTGATCCTGTTCTCACAGGAACTGTGATCACACCCCCAGAGGCCAGGGGTGAGGCCAGGCCTGGGGGCAGCACTTTGCTTTGCCCAGGAGGCAGAAGTGAAGGTGCTCACTGACCCCAGGTTCCCTACCCCTGCACAGGGCACTGCTTGCTGGGCTGTAAACTCTGCAGCAGAGCTGGAGACCTCCTGGCAGGGTCAATGCAAGGGAGATTGAGGGTCTTCTTAAAAACGCAAGTACACAGGGAACTGCTGGGGTGAACTGACATCTCTAGGAAGGGGAGAGGGAGATGAGGCAAGAGGGCAATGATTACTGTCCCTGTGAGTCATCTGCAGCAGAAAACCACGTGCCCAGGGGCATGGGCAGAGCAAGACTGTGCTCAGGCACGATCTAGGATCCTTCACTCTCCTCAACCAGCGTTGAAGGAGGGAGGAGGTGGTTGATTCTTAGGCAGATTTCCCTACACAAACTGCTAGAGTTAACTAAAGGCTGGCAGTTGGCACGTTGTAGGGAAACACACCACAATTAGTGGTGGAGAGGCAGGGAGCAGATAATTAAAGTTTAATTAAACAAATAGTGCTACAGACTCAACAGTGCCATTTTACTGCTGAAACACAGGAGTTTGGCCACAAGCACAAATCTGATTTGCACAACTACTGAACACCCACTGCTTCCAGCAAATGCTGGGCTGTGAAGGCAGGTCCCCACTGAGCTGGGACTGCAGCGTTTCAGCAAAAAGCAACACAAGTGCCACTGGATGCAAGAGGAAAAACAATGTAAGATGTGAGGTCCCCTCCTCATCTCTCTGCTTTGCCAAAGGCATGGTGAATGGGATATCCCACTGCTGCTCACAGCCTTCCATTTGGCAAACTGGGAAGTGTTCAGGGCCTGCTGTTTGTCACTCTGCTGAAGCCAGAGAGAGTTCAGCCCCATGAGATGTACCTCCTTGCTCAAGAAATATTCAATATCCAAGCATTTCAAATGCATATTCTTAAAATATATCCTCTGAAATGCAAGTATTCCTGCCTGCACTTTGATTGCACGGTGGAGGAGGACATATTCATTCCAGCTTTTAGCTATGGGATAAGAATGACTTTCTAGGTGGAATTTGGAACTGCAGCTCGTTCCTCCCTGCTTGGACCAAGCACAGAACCAGACCAAGCTGCTGCAGGAAGGTCACACACTGACAGGATCACCCCCCTCACACACAGACACACTTTCTGCCCGCTTGTCTGTGTTTTTTGGAAGAGGCTGGAGTACACTGCATCCAGATGGCACAACCCACTCAAAGGTCAAGGAATAACTGAACAGACTTTGAAGCAGACCAAGAATCAATCTTGCAGACAAAGGTTCCTCCTTGGAATTACCCATTTTGGAAGGCTTCTCTATTCACTGACAGTACAGAGTGTGCAATATTCACCACCCAGCTAAGGCACCTGAACCTTTGGAGCAGACCAGCACTTCCAGAACAGGCTGAACTGCGTGTCCCACCTGCTGGGGGAGGAGGAGGGGCTGGGCCATGCTAATGGTACCTCAGTGCAGTGGCTGAGGGATCAGAGGGGGACGTCAAAGAGACCAGCACAGATGTGTATTTAGAGATGAGAAACAGAGGGGGCCTCAGGGAACAATTTCTGACTTGTCAATATGCTGGAATAGATGAGACAGTCCCCACAGATCATCTTGGTCTTTGATTCAGCTCTGTGACAAACCTACAGTTTTACTTACTGCAGATACTGAGGCCACTAAAAACTGTCCATCATAGAATCACAGAATGGTTTAGGTTGGAAGGGACATTAAGGCTCATCTCATTCCCACCTCCTGCCATGGGCTGGGACACCTTCCAGTGGTCCAGGCTGCTCCAAGCCCTGTCCAGCCTGGCCTTGGACACTTCCAGGGATGGGGCAGCCACAGCTTCCCTGGGCAACAGGGTGCAAGTTCAGACCAGCTGCGCTTTAGTGACAGGGTCAGTGATCCTGCAGAGCACAGGACACTGTGATGGAGGAGACCAAAATCACCCACAGTGATGGCAGACTGGGCACTCACACCTGGCATCAGCAACCCCAGTAAAGCCAGGGAAATGGGGATTCTAAAGGGACAGCAACAGAGCACGAAGCCATTGAACTGTGAGCCCACCCAGGAGCCTCCAGCACTTTTTCAGGGATATATTACAAAGAACTGTGATTAACACCTTGGCAGGTTTCACCATCCATTAATTAAAAGGCCTCAGTAAGATTAAATCTCCAATCTGCATTATGGAGGGTTTGCAGTTCAGAACAAAATTGGAAGGATTTTTACTGAAGGTTGCTCAGCTCAGGGAGTCCTCCAGCTACCTGGACCTCCTGGAAATCTCCCAGCTGCACATGCAAGGGACACCTGTGGATCAGACACCAAAGAGGACATTCCAGCAGCTGCTGTTGGAATGTGGCCCAGCACACCAGTGGCATCCCAAGGGACTCTGTGGGAAGCAGCAGCAGGATGTGAACGATCTGGCTGAGCCGGTGGAGCACATGCCAGTGAGACCCCCCAGCTATTTCAGGGAGGACTGTGAGGAACAAGATGAGATCCTGGGAAAGGGCAGCAGGTTCCTGGCTGTCCAGCTGCACATCAGCATCTGCACAACACACCCCAGCAAACCCTCAGGGAACAACCCAGGGCAGACTGACTGGAGCAGCTGGGCAGTTTAAGGATGTTAATGCCATGCATGGCCATGGAAGCCAAACCACGGGTGATTAAACCCCAAATTACACGGTATGAGAGGATGACTATCAGGGTTAGAAGGAATTCCCACTGCATTCCACATGCCTTACACATCCGTGTGGGGAACCTGCCTCGCCACAGAGCAGTTCCCTTCCCTCTGGAACACCAAGCACAACCCATGCCAGGGACAAGCAGAGCAGCTCCCTGAAGCCATGGCTCAGTCTGGCACGGTAGATGTGACCCTGCTGAGCCAGGACAGGGCACTGCCAACAGCCAGCTTTGGGAAGAGACGCTGTGCTCACCTTCCAAAGGGTGACGGTCATTCTTTGGTAACTTGGGGGAGAGAGGAGCAGTGTATGGAGGGGAATCTTGGGAATAGCGCTTTGTACCCCGGCCTGGTCCCTGCAGAGAGCCGTCTAACGAACTGCTTCTGTCTAGGAAGAGAGAACAAGCCCTATTTAGGAGTGGAGATGTCCTGGGAAATTCAGTCTTGCCAGAGTCCCTTGAGCTCAACAAGTGTTACCAGAGAAAAAGGGTGGCGAGAAACCTAACAAAGAATCTTAGCCGTATTTTGTCATATTTTACCCCAAATATCACCCCTAGTTGACTTAGTTGCATTTCTCCTCGTTCTACCCCTTGGCTCATCCCACACAATTCCTGCTCGTCCCACTCTTCCCCTTTCAGACGCACGTAACCCTTGGACAAGTGGCAAACAACCCTGGGGTGATTTACCCCACAGATTTACCCTCTGTGCCATACACAGTGCTGGATTAAACCCCACTCCAATTTTCCATCTTCCCCTCAGTGCACCCCCAGCTGTGGCTGCTGCTCCTCCCCAAGCACACCCCAAGGACGGGGCTCTCCGTGCTGCAGGGGGATGTTGGGATGGGCTGGGACATCTCCTCGCACACACAGTGTCAGTGGGTGGATGGACACAGAATGGAAGTGCCAACACTGATGGGGACAGAGCCGGGTGAGCGACACAGGGGGTGGCAGACCATGTCCCAGCTGAGGTGACCCTCCAGCTGCCCCCTGCCCACACGGGCCACCAGCTCCCAGGCCCCTTCCAGCTGCCCTGAGCACGGGCCACACGTGTGAGCCCACAGCACTCCGTGCTGGGCACAGTGGTGCAATGTCACAGACAAGAGCCAGGAGCCAACACCTGCCCAGAGCAGCCCCGAGAGCTGGCACAGGGTGCAGGAGGGGGGACAGGCATGGCGGGGACCGACACTCAGGGAGATGCATCACAGCCAACACACGGAGGGACAGGCGGGTGGGAGGCACCAGATGCACACAGGTAGAGAAAAGGACCTGCTGTATCCATATCCTTCAGGGAAATGAAAGACAAGCTGCTTGCCCTGGGACTCCATGTGAGTATGACCAAAAATCACTGTGACATTGTTAAAAAGACAAATTCCATCCTCAGGACAAGTCCCTGTAAGAAACATTCACTGCCCAGCAGAGATGGGAACAAATGCTCTTGGTAATGTCTCTGGATATCCCTGTGTCACCCAACCTTCTTCACCCAACAGCCACAGAACCACAACACAAGGTGATGCTTTGCAAAGGTTTCATCAGGTTTTGGTTTGGGTTTTTTATTTAAAGTGGTTGATGTTCAAAGTCATGCAAACACAGAAGGTCAGGCTGTAGAAGACAATCCAGTAATCAGAAGTGAGGTTGGTGTAAATTAATGAAAGGATAACTCAAAAATAGAATTTTGCTTTTAAGGAACAAATTTTAAGAAAATAAAGAAATGGAGTAAGATCCAGATCTGCACTCAGCAAATCATCAGGAAAAAAACCCCACCTTCAGTTCAGAGGTGCCATAAATGTCATGGATGTGAATCATCTGAGAGGGAATAATCTGAGAGGGAAGGACCCCAAATCTCAGTGGACAAAGCCTCACTTTGAGAAGGATGCTGAGAACAAGCAGATCATTTACTGGGATAAAAAGGCCCTGCTCAGCATGGAGCTGTGCACCTCAGAGCACGGGGAGGGCAGGAGGAAGGCAGGCTTTGAACTCAGCTGTGTTCTGAGACAGTGCACAGGCAAAGCCAGGCCTGTGCTTCAGCTACAGAAGGAACAAGCACAGGGCAACAGAGCGAGGGGATGTGCAAAAAGGTAAGGGTTAAGAGAAAAGGAAGGGAGGTTGTCCTTGCCTGCAAATGATGGGACAGCTGTGAGGGGTATTTCATATCCCCTGACTCGGGAGCCTGGTGGGACGAAGAGAAGCCCACCTGCCCATGCTTGGATGGTGCTGTGGGCCATCCCAAGGCCATGGGATGGACACCTTTCCAGGCAGCCAGAGTCACTCACCTCATCCTGCCAGGCCAAGGTCACTCCAGGCTCCCACTGTGGGACACTGTGCCTTGCACTGATGGCACTGGCACTTCCTCCCTGGCTGCCGAGAACACCTACACACCTGGCTCAGGTGTTGACCCATCTGTGACACCCACCTGCACTCAGTGCACTTTAAGCTGAAAGAGGGTTGATTTAGACTGGACATTAGGAAGAAATTGTTCCCTGTGAGGGTGGGGAGGCCCTGGCACAGGTTGCCCAGAGAAGCTGTGGCTGCCCCACCCCTGGAAGTGTCCAAGGCCAGGTTGGACGGGGCTTGGAGCACCCTGGGCTGGTGGAAGGTGTCCCTGCCCATGGCAGGGGGTAGAACTGGATGAGCCTTAATGTCCCATCCAACCCAAACCATTCTGGGATTCACTTCCATCTGCAGCCAGGCTGAACACAGGGGCAGGGCTCAAAGGACAAAAGAAACAGGACAGGAATGAAAATACCCACCACTGACCAAGTCAAACAACTGAATGTTCTCAATTGGGGGATGTGAGGGCGCAGAGGAAGCCAACAACGATGGTGGACCTGGAACTCTGGGTCTGCTGCAGCAAATTGTAACAGAACTCAGCGACACACTACTCAGAGGGACTGGAAACCTGGTGCCAACATTTGAAACAGAAGGTGAAAAAGTGATTTTGGCAACAAAATGCCCATGTCTGACCCCAGCAGCACCGCAAGGCGTGTGGCTGGCTCGGAAGGAAAGGGCAGGGAAAATACACATGGTCCATACCATGGCAGGGGTCCACCAGGAGACTGACCCAGCAGCTTCCCTACTATGGGGAAATCCTGATGAGGGAAGAGAGGTCAGTCCCATTTAGCTGGAATTCAGCAGATGTTAGATACAGAGAGCCACCAGCTGAGACTGAGAGCATGAATTACCAGAAGCCCTGTTCTGTGCACAGAAATCTAATTTGAGGGGAAAGGCAGCGCTGAGTGACACATGAGGCTGGGGAGCAACTGCCAGTGAATCTGCTTGAAGATCATTCTTTAACCCACTGTCATTTAGTATTTTTATTTAAACCTTTGGCAGAAATTTTAGAGATTTACTGATGAAATCTGCTGATATCTTCCCACACCAGGCCAGACAAAGTGGTGTTTGAAATTAGGCAGGAAAGATCCATACAGAAGGAAGAACCAGTCAGGAGGTAAATCCAGCAGCCAAATGCAGATGTGCACTTGAAACACTGTCCCATGAGCTGGGAACCAGCAGGTGACAGCAGTGGATGAGAAGAACAAGGTATGTGACCAGGACAGGCTGATCATCATCTGTTACAAGGACACACTGACTGGAAGTGGCTGTAGAGATATTTCTTGTGACCATGGTGGTGCCAGTGCTGTGTCACCAGGTCCCCAAGGGCTCCTCCCCAGAGGGCTGGGTCACCCCGTGAAGTTTAAGTCAAACCAACACCGGCTGAGGAGAGCAGAGAGCATCCAAAAGGTGAGTTCCCCAAAGGGATACAACTGCTTCCAACTAATTCCAGAAGAAAGAGAACCAATTTGAGCTAAGAGACAAGGTTAAGACCAGGAGACACAGATACAAAGTTGCCCAAGAATAAATTTGGGCTGGAAACTACAGTATAGTTTCTAAATACTCAGCAAAAAACCCTGGAGCAGCCTCCAGTGGAAGAACAAAATCTGCAACTCCAGAGTCAGTCAAAGCAACACCATGTGCTGTGATGCAGCAGGGCCCAGGGCTCAGGGGGCCAGAAGGTCCTTCCAGTCCTGTGTTTTCAGGTGGCTCCAGGGCAGATTTACCCATTCAGAACCTTTCACAGCCCAGGCACAGCAATCAGCTTCCCAAATCCTTGCTGTTCCTGATGTACAACTCCACCTGTTTCCCCTTGTTTCCATGACCATGCCTTAGTTGGTAGGACAGGATGGCTGGACACAGCTGACCCAAGGGCTGCTGCAGACCTTCCTTCTGCCCCAAGCACACACACCAGTTCTCCACAGCAGCCCCAGGGGTGCTCCTGGAAAGCCAGTTTGTTCTGGGAACTGAAAGCAGCTCCCAGCCCTAACCAATGGCCACTTACTGGAAGAACCAGCCCCATACAATACAATTCCCTCCTGCAGAGGAAGCAAGGCAGGACATGCAGAGCTGAAGCAGCTCTGTGAGACCACAGCAGCTTGACACTTGGCACGATTTAAGGATGTACAACTGCACTCTCATTCCTCCATGACCAGCCCAAACCTCCCAAAATCGCCGGTACTGTTTCTTTGCCCTCACCAGAAGCCACTGTAATGTGTAGATAATAATGTTTATCATCTTCTTTCAGGTGCCTGAGAAAGGTGTTAGATGACCAGATGACCAGCAAGCTGTGAGACATCAGTATGACCTGCAGGACTAGGTGCTGTCACTTCCCTAGACTGTGGTTAATTTTTCTTTAACCCCTGCAACCATTCAAGAGTTCAGGATGGGCAGGTCTCAGCATTGTGTCAGAACTGGTGCTGTGCCTGAGCTTCCCTGAATTCTGATTTACACTTCTCCACCCTGCCTGGCAGCCCAGCTCTGGGCAGAGCCACCACTGACCTCTCTTGGAGGCTGGAAACCCTGTGAGTGAGCTACAGGAACCTCTCTTCCATGCCCACACCTCTCCTCTCCCTCCCACTCCGGTTTTGCTCTATCCCTCAGCAACAGGGTATCTCCACACTGAAACATGGAGATTTCTTCTTTTTGAGGGTTCCCCAAGGGGCAACTTCCAGTCCCAATAACCGATCATGCTGCTCCTGTCCTTGCATTTACTACAGCTCCTCTTCTCACAGCACAGCACAGTTCCCTGCTCCTGGCCCTGCTGGCTCCAGCATGGCTCTGCTCAGCCATGGAGGAAGCAGAGGATCATCCTCACTCTCCTCCTGCTCATCCCCTCCCCGAGGGTGCTCTGTGAGGTGCAATGAACAAAGCACTGTGGCATTTGGCAGTTGCCCCTACACCTCAAGCTTAACAACTTCTTCTTAAACATTTCTTTCCAAGCACTTCATCCTTTTATATTCCAAACTCTTGCTTTTCTTGTCAGAGCCATAATTATCCAAAGGATTAACTTTGGAAAGATCTCAACACAACAGCTATTTGCTGACTGGGGAGGCAGAAAGCAAGACAGGAGAGGAGAGCAGCACTTGTCAACCACCTAAGAGGGTGCAGATAGCTTTGATCCTCTCCACAACCAGCATTCCTAGAGCAGGAGCTCCCCTAGAACCCCCAGGAAGCCTCGGGGGGCAGCCAAGCCCCAGGACCGCTGCCACTACCCAGCATGCTGGGGGAACTGCTGGACTTGTTTCTGAACAAGAGCAATTTCGCAGCCTGATGACCTGCACTGTGGCATAAACTGCCCAGCTGGGGTGTGCTGGTCAACGCAGCAGAGCATCAGCCATGGCAAGGACAACAAAACCACCTCTGTCTCGGATTGCTGCATGAGCACCACCCGTGAAGGGCCACGCTGTCACCGAGGGCTGGACGCACTGGCAGTGGGTCCACGGCCACTGTGGCTCTAATTCATCCCTAATTACAGTTCACCTGCTGCACATCATCACTCTCAGGCACTCTTTCACCTTACTCCTCACTGTGTGAAGTCATCACAAACAGATTACAGGGAGCAGGGAGGACTGAGGGACGAGGAGAGGAGGGAAGACAAGGAGACAGCACGGATGAGCGGAAACCTAGAGCGGAGATGGAAATCAAACTGACAGGCAGAAAATGCAGCTGGAATCCATCCTGCACAAGAGCCCTGCAGGCATGTGCACGACACTGGGTGTGATGTAATGAACCCTGTGAGAGGGCCCTGGAACACAGCCCTGCCTCCAGAGATAGAGATAAAATCTGGGTTAAGACACAGAGCACTTGGGGTCCCTACAACGCCGCCCCCGCCCCAGCTCCTACCTGGTAGATACCTGTCGTGGTCGTACTCGTGTGAGCGCTGCATGTGGCTGTTCTGAGAGAAAGGCTGGTTCCCAAAGAGGTTGTCACTGCGCAGATTGTGGCACAGCTTCTCCAGGAAGCGGAGGACGTAGGTGATACTGTTTACTGCTGGCAGGTTCAGAGTGTGCTGTTCCCGATCAAACACAGCTGGAGACAGAAACAAACAGAGCCCAACACGTGAACCCCCCGCCGAGGCGGAGGCTACGCCCAGGGCCGCGCAGCTCCTGGATCTCGGCATCGCTGGGCTAGGCTGGAGCCAACAACAGCCACTGCCTGGGGCTGGCACAGCGCCGGGACAGGCCGGGACCAGCCTGCTGCTCCCAGCGCCGGGCGGGCGGCAGCGCCGGGGCAGCCACGGGCGAGGGAACCCAAAGGATTCCAAGAGGGGCCTGCGCTCCCAGACCCAGTTAAAGGACAATTAAGAACCTCAAAAACCGGGGTAGTTCTTGTCTTTCCAGGAGGAGCTGTGAGAATCCCCCCAAGTTGTGCCTCCTCCCGGGGCCGGGAAAGCACGGAGGATGGTCAGAGGGGCAGGATGGTGCCCAGGCTGATGCCAGGGCTGCTCGCTGCCTGCTCACTGCCTGCTCGCTGCCTGCTCCCGCAGCTGTGCCCACAGGCCATGGGAACTGCTCTGCTCTGAGTCAGCCACCAGCTGCTGCTTCACTGACACAGATGTGTGGCAAGAAAGAGAAGACAGAACTCTTCTGTCTGCCCCTGGCCTGTGGCTGCACCAGGCTCCAGGACAGACATCTTCCAGCGAGAGAACTCTTGCAACAACCTCTCTGAAGGCAAAGTGCTGTGGGCCCATTCTCACCTGAGATGACCTCTCCCCCGTGGCCTTGTTTTAAGAAGGAGAAGACTGTTTTCTGATGATAAGCGCAGTCAATGCAGGCCTGCACTGCTTGCTGCAGGACAACAGAAGCTCGAGCTGGTCCAAAATGGTCTGGCAGCTGCTGAACCTTCTTCTTGTCTAGGTGGGGCCCAGTGCTGCCGTTCTTGTTCAAGTAAATGCAAACTGCCAAGATGAGAAATGTGTTTGCCATTAACCCACTCAAGAAAGCAAGAAACAGATGCCTAAAATCCAACCTGAGAGACGCTGAGATTTTAAGACTCTCCAATTTGCTCACAGGAGGTAATCCACCACGACTGCCTGTCTGCATCCTCACAGCAGAGCTGCTTCTAGAGGGGAATTGCCTCCAAAACCTTCCTGCCTCATGCTCACCTTCCAAGCTGCTGCTGCTTCTCCCTGGTCAGGCTGTAAAGTGGTTCCCACACCCGCCAGGTCAGGTGGCCGTGGTGTTCAGAGGGGATGAAGGAATTCAACCCCCACTTTTCAGTGTGTCCTTTTTAGGGAAACTGGGTTCTTTAGGTTCCTCTGAAAACTGGCCATTTATATTCTGGGGAAACAGAGGGCTCAGCCCATATCCAGAGCTTGACTCAACACGTCAAAAGCAGCTTTGCATTAGACTTTCCTGGCCAGATTCATCCCCAGCTGCACTCACATCTGTAGCAGTGCACACACTCCTCACTGCTGCTCCTCCTCCCCTACTCCCTCTTCTCCCTGAGTGCCTTGACATCCTGGTTGGAGCTGGACAGATCACAGTCCTTTGGTAGCTGCTCTGCCCCTTGTGCAGCTCCAGCAGCAGTGCCTGGCATGGTCTGTGAGAGCTCAGGGGCTCACAAGGGTCTCTGCACACCCGAGTGCCCCCAGGCACAAAGGGCCATGGACAGTGTCCCTGGAGAGCTGTGGAGTCACCACCACGCACATGGGAACTCAGGGAAAGGGGTCCCTGCCCTCAGCAGGTGGCTGCAATCTTCCTACAACTTCATTATTTCCAAATGGACAGAGAGAGAAACAAACAGCTGATCTGCACTCAGTGCCTCTCCCAGGCCAGCCCTCCTGGAATTGTAAGGATTGCTGGTTTACAGGCTAGGAAGAAATGGGACTCTCCTGCAGTGTCACTGTCTGTCTGCTGCAGTTCCTAACTGTGCAATCCTGTCAAGAACGTGGTCTGAGACCCTTCCTTACCTGTGGGAGCCTGCATGGCAGAGCTGGGGATTGTAGCAGCGTCCTGGGGCACAGTGCTTGTGTCTGGCTCTGGGGTACTGGTGGTTGGAGAGGTGGGTGCTGGGTTCAGCAATGTCCTAGGTTTCCTCTGCAGAAAAAGAGGAGATATTTCTCCTTTTACCCCTGCTCTCCTTTACCACCCGTGATCACTACACTCTCTCCTTTGCATCCAACAGACAAGGCACTGTGGAACATGACACATTTCTGATGGTGATGACGGGGTGTCCTAAGAATGTAGTCATCAATAGGTGTGTATTTTATAAACCACAAGCCTGAAAAATAACAAGCCCGAGATCTGCCACCTCAGTTTGACTCAGATCAGCCACACACGAGGACGGGACAGTTTATTCCATCGTTTGGCCACCCTGCCATGCTCCCAGCATCTGCCATGCTACTCCACAGCCAATGCACTTCCAAAGACACAGTTTCTTGATGGAAATGATCTTTAGGACACAGACATTCTCTACAGCTCTGGGGTTGGACTCTGAGAATGCTCCCAGCCCACATACCCCTCGGGTCTCCTACTTGCTGCAGTCACACAGCCAGAGGCTGAGACAAACGTGCCCAAACACACGCATGCACCATCCCATGGCAGGACCTGCAGCACCTGCTGTTCACCCGCCTGCATCGGCATCAGCTTTTACCTTACTGCCAGGCTTGGGGCCTCTCTTTCTGGGGAATTTCAAAGGCTCCACTGACTTGGAGGGTGCAGGCATGGGGTGGTGGATTAGCGCTTTGGTCGTTCGACCACGCTTCTTCCCTGTTTTGCGACGCCTTTGCCCTTGTTGATGCCCCAAAACAGTCTTTGAGCTACTGTGCATGCTAGGTTTCTCCGAGTTTACTTCGGAGGCAGGTAAAGGGCTCTTTGGAATCACAACTGAAATAAAAAGAGAAAAAGCAAATATAATTAAATCAGGCGAGAATCAAAACAAGAGCAGCCTCCATCTTTATACAGTCACATGGAAAAACCTGGAGCACTCACAGCCCCCTGAGCGGGGGCACTGCCCTCCATGCCGGAATAAAAACCAAACACACACAGATCCCTGGCTTAGCACTCGAGCTGTGGGACACTGGGGCTTGGCCTGCATGGGCTGAACTCCAGAAGGATCATGTTTTCAGCCATACCTTCCTTCCTGAAAATAACTGGCACCTACAGCTCTTCCTTCTGCGAGTGGTGACCTGCCAGCGACCACGTAAAAGGCTCTGAGAGCATTCCTAGGGAAGGATCAGCCAAGACGTGCCTGAGAGTCAGGGCTGTGCTGGAAATCCCCTCTCTCAAGGCTGATGTCAAATTTGTTCTGTCCCTAAATTTCCAGTGAACTGCAGCGGAAGGGACCAGCTCCACCCTTGATGGATCACTGCTCCTGTAATAGCTCATCTCAGCTGGACCAGCTGCCCTCTCCTCTCAGGTACTGCCACAGGCAAGTCTGTTCCTTCTTATCTTCTCACGCTTTCCATGATAAAATCAGGTTTCTGGTGAATTTGCCCATAAATCCTCTGAATTTGGTCATTCATCTTTCCCAAGTCCTGTTAAAGGCTAGAGACGAGCTGGTCCAGCTCAGCAGACCAGTATTTCCTTTAGTTTTAAAATTCTACTAAAAAGAAAGAAACAAACATCCTCCTGGATATTGAAAAATGCAGAGAGACCTTTAGGATGTCTCATTTCTCACACCTGGAAACCTCCATGTGTATTCAACATAGGGCAAGGAGTTAGAAAGACACAAACACTTTTGAAATGAGGGGCTTTGTAGTTAAGGAAAAAAATCTTGGCCAAGGAAACAGAGTGAAATAACAGATTGACACCAGGATGGCACAACTGTGGGCACATCATACAGAGATTTTTAAGGTTTCTTTAATGAGGATTTTATGAGCAGTTACTGTAAGCAAGGACTCATTCCCTTGGCACAATGAAGTGCATGAAGTGCCCCATCCCTAGAAGTGTCCAAGGCCAGGTTGGATGGGGCTTGGAGCAACCTGGGCAGGTGGAAGGTGTCCCTGCCCATGGCAGGGAGGAGATGAGCTTTAAGGTCCCTTCCAACCCAAATAACATGGTGCATGCAGGATCCAGCCCCATTCTGCTTGTCATGTGGGCAGGGTAAGATTTAGTTTGAATTTTATTTCCTTGCTTTTGTGCATTAGCATTCTGTATCAAAAGCTGGGAAGAAGCACACAGTCATTCAGAATCTGTCTGACTTCCCAAGTAATGACCTTTTTGTGTCAGGCTGATACAAGGAATTGTGGGAGAAACAGGGTTTTACTACTCCTTGTCTGAAATGTTAACAGCAAGGCTTCTTTGCTGGTAAGAAAATGAATAAGATAGCTCGAGTGCTTCTTACAGTTGATGGCTTTCCAGAAGAGTCAGTGTCACCTGCTACAGGTGACATCTGGCACTGAGTAGGGAGGAATGGCACGAGTGGGACAGCTCCTGATCACAGGAATTATGGGGGCTCTGGTCTCACATGTGCACGGCTGAAATGTTTTATCAGAATCCCCCCAAGTTGACAGAACAAGGATAAACACAAGGAAAATGGAACAAGTTGCCCAGAGAAGCTGTGGCTGCCCCATCCCTGCAAGTGTCCCAGGCCAGGTTGGACAGGGCTTGGAGCAACCTGGGCTGGTGGAAGGTGTCCCTGTCCGTGGCAGGGGGTGGAATAGGATGAGCCTTAAGGTCCCTTCCAACCCAAACCAGTCAGTGATGGCACGATTCTAAAACATTCCATACTTCAAAGAAAATGTCAAACATCAAAGGGATGCGGAAGCCAAGGTGGGAGGCATTTCATCTGAGATCTGCACAATGCTCAGCGTCTAAACCAAGTGCCACAACGAGGTTTCTCTAACCTGGAGGAGAAACTGAGGATTCTACAGACAAGCTGTGAAGCAAACCCACGCTGATCTCAGTTTCTCCAGTGACAAACCCACAGAAATGGTGCATTTGGGAAGCTGGGATGCAGCAGGCAGAGCAGCTGGACTGCACCCTTGGCTCCCAGGCTGGGTCATGTCGCTGGGAACCCAGGGCCAGGGAAAAAGGAACTGCTGCCAGGTGAACTCCTGGGGTGCAAGCTCTCACTGCATAATCTTGTAATAAAAACTGACTTCATCTTTTGGTGAAATAAATGCAAGAAACATCTGTTGCTCACTTCAGCTGTAAAGACAACACAGGTAATGGTAATTTGCCAGGCTTAGAGAATTGGTTTTGGGTTTTGGGCAATAAAAGCCTGTAACAGGGTGCAGGCAGATCCCGTGATGGGACACCTCATGTCATTCAGCCACCCAGAGGAGTTCCCACTGTGCCTGTGTCCCTGGCAGCACAGCCTCAGTCCCTGTCACAGCCACAGCTCCAGCAGGGATGGGGGATCTACCCCAGCTTGGGAGGTTGTTCAACAGAGCAGGTGAAATGGCAGGTAAATGTGCAGCCAGCTCAGTGCAGAAACACAGCCTGTGCCCCAGCTGGGTGCTGTGTGCCCAGCAGTGGTGCTGAGCACAGCCCTGAGCACAGCCCTGAGCACCCTGCACAGCAGGCACTGCTGCTCCCCCTGGGGCTGCTGCCACCAGAATGATGCAATGCACATTTTTCTGACCCAGAGTGCTTTAATGAAATGAGGTCTCATACTCCCACGATCCAACACCACTCAGCAGATTGCCCGGATTTTTTGTTGGATTTTAACCAGAATGTGAGAAAACAACAGCCGGTGCTAATTCCTTTCTCTTGCCCTCCCCGATGCAGAGCTGCACTCGCTCATCCTGAGGAGACACCACGAGCTCCAGAGCAGAGTCATCCCACCAGCTGCACCCACACAGCCACGGTGCAGCCCCCAAAACACAGGGGTACTGCTGCCCGTGCTCTGTCTCATCCCCCAGGCACTGGGGTGACTGGATGCTTCCTAAAGAAGTCTGAAGTTTCCTGTCAGCAGCCTGTTATTTTCCTGCAGGATTTCAAGCCCTGCTGTCACATGGACCCGGTCCAGAAGGACAAGATTGCTGTGGAGGGAGCAGTGCTGAGCACTCAGCCCTGTCTGCACCCAGCTCAGCACCCACAGAGCTCCAGAGCTGGGAACAGCTGTGCCCAGCAAGCAGGATTATCTCACAGCTCCAACCACTGCTCACATCTCCTCTAACTGCCACCAGCTTCCATTTACTGCAACTTATTCATATTATTACTGCTTCTTAATAAGTAAGAATCTAAAGCTACTAAAGAGTGTCCAAAGAAGGGCCACAAAGATACTGAAGAGTCTGGAGGGGCCACACAAGAAGCAGCTGAGGGCACTTGGTGTGTGCAGCTGGAGCAGAGCAGACTGAGGGCAGAGCTCAGCGGGGGCTGCAGCTCCTCCCGAGGGGCAGCTCCGATCTCTGCTCTGGGGGAGCAGGGACAGCCCCCAGGGAATGGCTGGAGCTGTGTCAGGGCAGGCTCAGGGTGGATCTCAGGGAAAGGTTCTTCCCCCAGAGGGTGGTTGGCACTGAACAGGCTCCCCAGGGCAGTGGGCACAGCCCCAAGGCTGCCAGAGCTGCAGGAGGGTTTGGACAACGCTCTGAGGGACAGGGGGGGATTGTTGGAGTGTCTGTGCAGGGCCAGGGGTTGGACTCAATGATCCTTGTGGATCCCTTCCAGGTCAGGATCTTCTGCGATTCTGTGATTCAGCTGGAGCCAGAGCCAGCCCAACAGTAAGCAGCTGCCAGAGACATCCCCACTTCCTTCTTCCTTGTTGAAGCCACTGAGAGGAGCCACATTTTCAGAAAATCAAGCAGGGCCCCTCTTACTTAAAAAATCCACAGTTTGCTGTTGCTGAGAAAAGCAGCACCTCTGCCCCACAGCTCTGGTGCTCTCCTGAGCTCTGAGGAATCTTAACCAATTCCAAAGCTCGCCTTGCTTTAGGTGAGGAGTTAAGCCAGCAGCCTCCAGAGATCCCTTCTGACCTGCATTATTCAGTGATCTGAACTCATGGGTAACCATTTCAGCTCATTAAGGGAACAGAAAACTAATCAACAGAAGTTTTCTGCTGGCTGAACTGTCTTGTTTTGGGTCATACAGGCACCCAGCACCAGGGCAGACACAGAGCAGGGGGCTGGCTCCTTGCTGGGCCAGTTGGCATCAGATGCACTTGGCACAGTGAGAAACATTCCCCTGAACATGCAGGACCAAAACCAGCTGAACTCAGAGCCAAAGAACAGTCAGACACCACTCACGGTGTCATTGATCACTGAAGGATTACTTTAAAAAAGAATTCTGAGTGTCCTGCAGAAACGAAGGGAATTCAGGGCTTCAGGCCCTGCTTCCCAATGCCAGCTGACACACGGCACCCGCACTGTGACTCCAACTGTGACCTACAGGAGGCTCTCATAGTTGCCATCCACACACATGAGGGTAGTGTGGATGGCATTTGTCACCCATCAGCTTATCTCAGGCTTGGCACAGCTTGACGAAGACAAAATTGCGTCCCTGGGACATGAATTACAAAGCCAAAGCATGTAGGAACAGAAATACTGAAGTTGCAGAGGGTTTCCTGCCTTTCTCTACTATTTACCAGCCTCATTTACCAACAGCTGCTGGAGCCCAAACCCCAAATCTCCATTTTCTGTGCCAAGGGCTCTGTACTCTCAGATGCAGTTGTAGCTCCCACGCTGCTCCCCGGAGATCTCAGTAGTGACCACTGCAGTGTCCTGAGGGGCAGGGGGTGGTTTCTGAGCAGCCTGAGCACATCACTCGTGCCCATCTCAAAGCCCCTCTGCAGGCTTTCCTGCAGGCCTCCCCTCCAGTGGTTCTTTGGTGCTCAGCTGCCCCTTGTCCCATCCTCAGCACTGCACAGGAATCAGAGGTGGGTTACAGAGACACCTTTAACAAGAGTAAATTTGACAGAGAGCAGAAATGGTGAGATCTGGCTG